TGGTTTTGGTTCTGTTTTCTTCTCTCAACAGGAGGTGGTTTTCAGCCGCTCAGATAAATCAACTGTACACTACTTGCTCAGCACTGAACAGCACTCTGATATAGTTAGCAGCTAACATAATTAAATAGCTAGGTATTTTTCTCTGAAGATTTCAAAGACAAAAACAGAGACTGGAGGGGAATGAATAACAGACTTAGGTCCAGCAGGTCACCAAAAACACAACTCCAAATTAATACTAATGTGGCTCCATATCAATTTTATAATACCATAATTTTTATAAACAAGCAGGTTTCAGTCTGTTGTGGTGTTCTGCCATCAAAACAGATTAATGCAGATGTGAAGTTATTGTAAATAATTGTGGCTAGTTTCATGGTGATGTTTTGGCTGCTTACTTTGCAGTGAAAAACACTGTTGAGCAATTCCTTTTACATATTAAACAAAAATTACTGAATGAAAAACATAACAGTGATAATGAGAAATAAGATGACTAAAGAGCACTGCTGTGATGCCTGGATTTTTTTCTTTTGGACTAAAGTTGGATGTTTTATAAGTAAATTTTTAAACCTGTAATTTTTTGGCGCATGATAAGGTCCTCGGTGCGCGTGAAAGAAAACAAGTTCAGACTCTGTCTATGTGAAAACCTGGGCTGGCTGCACAGACAGACACATACTGTATGAGTGCATGGCTCAAAGTTATTCAGTTCTAGAAAACCAGCTAATCTTGAGCAAAGTCTGAATCTAGACTGTCAAGTCCAACTTAATTTTATGCTCAGTGCTCCAAAGCAGGAAGAGAGAGTTCTCGCTCATAGTTACCCTGTTTTCCACACTGGCCTTGCAGCATTAGCTCCTCACTGCAAGTCCACTGAACAAAATGGAGTGAAATAACCTTCATTGACAATAGCTATAGAAAATGAAGAGCACTGGAACACCTGACAGTGTGCTGGGGGATAAGCAGCACAGGATACAGAGTTACTGGTATTGCTGAGGTTGTTGGCATGCAGAGCTGGCACAGCCTGGACACGGAGTGGCTAACTTTAAGCTTTAAACTCTTCTAATCAATATCTTTCATAGCAACATGTTTACTGCGAAAGGGGTCACCGCAGAGAACCCAACACTGCAGCTCTACATAATGTTGTTACTCTTTGTTTTAGTTGTATGTATAAGGTAGTTTTATACAAAACAGTTGTCACAGCCCTCTCATCAGCCTTGTTTCCACACAACAGTTTTTTTGCCAAGAAGCTCTGCTGCACCCACTGTGCAGGTCCCTGCAGGGTGGTAAACAGAGAAGTTAACAACCAGCTGTTGAAGAAACTGGAATATCTAGCAGCTAAGGGCTAGATGTGTCCCTCAAGAGTTGGATGACAGCAAAGTAGAACTAAAAGGAAAGTGAATATTGGACTTTAATTATCAGTGGCCAGTCAAACACAAGCCTCCAAACTGCCACAGCACATACAGAACTTTCATTCATACTGTGAACAACCTGGCAATAGTTGTTGCTAGCGTGTTGCCGCTTATCATGGGAATTTTTAAAAAAAGCTGTTAATGTGTAAAGAAAGTTGCAGCTAAATTCCGGACACAAGTCTATAAAGTTTGAAAAAGAGGTAAGAGAAAGGTTTTGTTTCACTGTGGTCACATACTATAGAATATCAGTCACGAAATAGTAAAATACAAAAATCAACCAGTTGATTGTTTTGTCATCTAATTGCATAAAAAAAAAATCAAAGTTGTCACTTTTACTCCCTTTTAGGTCTAATTTGCTAAAGTAATTAGCTTCTCTTATCTTTAAGGTTCTTCACAAGCAACTGAAATGCAAACACAAATACATCAGAGAGAAGTGCACTGGAGGTCTTGAGTTTTCAACTTTAGTTCCTGGGACTGCTTGGTAGAAATGGGCCATTATACTAGTGTATGAACCAAACTAACAATGACCCAAAGTTAGAGATCAGATAATCATAATCCTCATTATGTTTATGCAACCAGCCCATCATTATGATGGAGTAAGTGACGAAATATGTCACATACAGTATGTTCACTTCCGTTTGTTGCCTGTGGCCTCTGACATTCATATGTTATTTTATGTCACTTTCTATGTTGAAGCAGAAACACAAATCAATAACGAGACTTTTGGATTTTGGCTGCACGTGTTCTACCAGGACTAGGCTGTTAATTGGTTTACTGACGACACCAGGCAGATTTAGTCACAGCATGATTTCAACAGGACTGTGGACTACAGTGGTGCATGTAAACATAGCCAGTGTTTCTTTTCTGAATGGCTCTGACTCAGCACGGCCCCCAGCCTCAACCTGCTCACACATCCATCTCTCTCCCTCTGATTGTCTGTGCATTTTATATTGAGTCCGTACAGTTTGTGAGGTGTGTGTATGAGGTCCGGGTCATTCAAATGCTGCAGCAAATCTATTGCTTTGATAAAAGGCATCACTTCACAGAAAAATGAGGAGGAGAAAAAAAGAAACAAGCTGCTTTGAGTAGTGTGAAGCTTGAAAGAGTGAGATATATAAACCAAATGTTTGTCACATTGCAAATGACAGAAACAACAAAAAAGAAGAGTGTCTAAAGGAAAGGAAAGGAAAGGAAAGGAAGGAGCGCTATGTCTTCACAATCTCACCAGCTTTCTCAGTGTACCTTGCTGATGACAGATCATACTGTTGGGCCTGTCAGTGTTCACCTTGCCTCCAAATTCCACTGGTGGTCACAGTGGAGGGGTCTGACCCAGAAGTTATTTAGACACATGCATATACAGTATGTGCATGTGTAAAGGTATGTTGTGTGTACTGTGCATGTGCATGTTTGTGTGTTAGTGTACATGCATGCCATCGTAAGACAGCGGCGGGCTTTCTACAAACAGACAACGGTCGACACAAATAACAATACAGCTCAATCAGCCATTAGCCCAGCCCACCCTAGCACCATGACATCACTGCTTTAGCATGCAGTTTCACGTTTACAGGGAGCTCTATAAGAAAAAAAAGGTTGAAAACATATGTGGGACTAGGGAGGCAACATGGCCGAGATGAAACATTTCAATCACATACTGGTTGTATGGTCAAAGCTGCTAACGTGAGCTAAAACACACGTCAGAGGGATGACTGTGTGCGCCATGCACTAACTACCATAACCAGCCAAGTCTCTGAATCGGTATTAGAGCACATCAGGGCTTGGCTTTGGCACAGCATGTGGCATTGTTGCACACAAAAACGAGTACTACATGATTGTCTTTTCCTGACATCAATGTCATTATGTGCTTTAGTTCATCCTCACCGGCTTCCGTCAGTGATGAACAGGCTCATTTTAATGCTACAGCGGCATTC